TCTTTTAAAATTTAAAACCAATCTTTTCCGTCATCTTATTTGATTGGATTGGACTGTATAATACCAGCGTATATTTTTTATATTTTGACAAGGTTTCATTGTTTTCCTTTTCAAAATAATATTATATATAACATATATTCTTCTGATTTGGACTCTGTTACTCCGTCAAACCTCGTTATGATTTATGTCAGACCCGAAGTTTTACTAGCATAACAAAAAAGACATTGCAATTTCAATTAATTTCTATGTTAAGCAACTATACCTCATATTTGGTGACATTGATATTAGATTAAGTGGTTTAATGAAAACGTATTTAGTTATACCATTTGACAAACCAATTTTGTGGTAAACAATGTCATAGAAACTACTTTGGCATTGCAAAGTTCATTTAATTAGATATACGCATAATATCTTCAATGTAAGTTATCTGTTCCCAAGCTAATTTAAGACAAAATGTTTGCAATGTTTTATACTTGTCTATCCATGTTAGCGGGTGTGGCAAATGTTACACCTTTCATTTTCTCTCATGAACAGACACTGTAATGATCTTAAAATCTATTTTAATACTTTTTTGTCGTCATTTTTGTTGTCACAGAAAAAAGCACACATTAAGGACATTGTTATTTTATCAAATATATAAACATAAAAATAGGGAAATATATCATTTACAAATTCATTGAATATAACATTTATGGAACATTAATTTTATGCATAAATGTTGAAAACGATGCTATTTATTTTGAATATAATTGCAAAAGGTTTAAGTTTAAAACAGAGAATAATATTCTTACAAGTATAAGATAGGCCTCCGCGTAGGTAAAGCACTTTGTTTTATATGCATGCTTGGCAATATTCTTGGTAATTGAATAAAAAATATAGATTAATCGTTGATTTTGTAAATATGCTTTAAATCTGGCAAATTGCAAATTACATCGTTAAATTGCGATTTAAGACACTATCAAAAAGTGTTCATGTCGATCAGGGTATTAATTTTAAATTATAAAATTTCATTGTTTTACCACACACATTATTTTGCTTGAAGAAAACGAAAACGCCAATCTAGGAGATCAGTCTCTCGTGGTAGGTATCAGAATGATGACGGAATACTGTCAAAATATTATCCAGTAGATTATATGCAGACGTATTGTATCTAATATACATTAAATTATTCATCGGTTATACATTATGGCCCAAACTTGACGACAATAAATTAGAATCGGTCGTGCTGGCTTGAAAGTCAATATCAATATTAGTTTTTGATGTTTTTTAACACAACTGGCATTTCAGAAAGTTTTGAATCAGATAAAACCTTATCATATTATATCTAACGTAATATTCGTTCATCGGTGAATATTTTGTAAGTGTAATTTTCACAGCAACTGTTACACTTTCACGTCGATTTTTAAAAACATTCTGTTCAAAATTAATATAAATTAGTTTCAATGAAATATTTAAAAGCGAATACTTTATTGTCAGTGCGCATTTCTACCAAATATACCGTGTTTTTTTTTCAATGGTAAATGTTTACATGTAAATGATAAATTCGGTTTGATATAACAACTTTATGCAATTTAGAAACTGGGAGATCTTTTGTTAAAACTTCGGGTAAAAATAAATGTGACTTATAAAACGAGTACATGCATCCATTTAGCTTACGGAACGGCTGTGGACTCAGGTGCCCGTTCGTTCCTACAATAATGCAAAGAAGGGCGCCAGAGGTCTCCCTCCACAACTAAAGCGGGAAAGTCGGCATATGACCTATACTGTTTTGGTGCGGCGTAAAGTCAACAAATAAAATGAGTAACAAAGTTACAATTAATTCTCAAAGGCCACCTGTCTTTGTTGTATTTTACGTTATGCCGGTTACAGTTTGGCAGAAATTTATTGTCTGATTACTACCTCGTGCTATTCTGGCTTTTAGCATTAAGATAAAACAAACAAACAAATGTTTACAATCTTGAGATTATCTCACAAGTGTGTATGTTCTAAATAAACTTATTCAATGACTGTATTTCTCACAAATGCTTGGGGAATTTTACAAACATTCGATTCAATTAAGAAGAAAATTCACTTCTTGTTCAATTAATAGCACTATCTTCAAACTTATAACACAGATCAAATTAAAGACATATTTTTAAAATAACTGACTATTTTACACATAACGTCGTCATAGAGAGCGTTTACATTTCTTGTTCCGTTCCTAACAAACGTTTATCGACTTAAAGCTATCATTTAGTGTATTAAATGAATTTTGAAATGTACGCGAAAATGACGAGCGCATATAACATTATGGACAGGCCAAATTCCAGTAGTTTACCAAGATTCATGTCGCGTTTACCACTAAAGCTAAAACTTAATTGTAGCGACTCCCATCAAAAGACTTCCCGTTTTTGGTTCAAGCAGACCGACCGCACTTGAATACATAAACCTATTGAAATGACGCTTTGTTGATAAGGAACTTGCAAATAAATACACTGATAGTGATAAAGCAGTAATCAAGCTTAACTTTCCGATAAAATGTGAATAATATCTATTGATACGATTCCTTTGTGATTCCTTTGGCAATAGACGTTATATTTAGTCACTGCAATTGATTTAAACTTTCTGATGCAATAGATTGTTAAAATAAGATATTATCTGTTCAAAATTACAAAACAAATTCCAAATAAAAACACAATAGTCCACATTTAGTGAATCTTGTTTGTTATCAAATAATGAAATTCCAATATGTAAAACTTCAATTTCCTGTCTTATTATATCTAATTGGTTAACGTTATGGTAGAATCTGAAGAATGCGTGCCATAAACTTGAACATTGTTGTGAAATTGTTCCATCCTTCCTATCAAATTAACACATATATCTAAGAAATGGATTTCCGGACCTTGATCTCAAGAACAAAATTAAAGTTTATGATTCAAAATACAAGTGAATAAGTGAAAATTATACAATAGAATTGTGGGAAGATAATGAGGTTGAGTAAAATAGATGTCTGCCAGGGAACCCTTAGCAGATAATATTTCATAATTTAGTTTGTCTTCGACGTAACAATTGTGCCGCAATCCTATTAAGAAATGCAACTTAACAGACTGGGGGTAATCATTTGTTATAAGTGAGACGTCAAAAACACATGTTTCAAAAAGATAAATGTACCAGTTCTTGGAAATATAGAGAGCATAACGTTACAGCACTTCAAATTGTTAATAGCTGACATACCGCTACAATGCACTTAGAGTGTTCAGCGTTCAGTTAAAATTTTGCAAAATCATTGCTCTTCATTGACAGTGTTTTCTACATAGCATAATAGCACAATCTAAGGTAATGTTAAGATAAAACCTTATGAACTATTATAAAAGTATAGCTTAAGCTAAGGAAGTTTACAAATCGTTTCCTGAGCAAAGTCTTCGATACCAACACTAGGAAAACAGTCGCATACAAATTGCATCCTGATCATAATCTAACATGTGTAAGATATTGTCCTTTTATTGAAATGTTCTATTAAGCATAATACCAAAATTAAAATGTGTACCCAATCTTAAACCACTGTCTGAGCACAGCCTAAGCTCAAATAGCTTTTAAATCATTACATGGACATAGTCTAAGCTCATTTGGCAAACAAGTCAATGCGTAAGCACAGTGTTAACTCAGATATTTTACAAACCGCAGTCCGAGCACACTCTGAACATAATTAGTCTAAAGTCGTATGTGTAACAAATTCCTTACTGCCGTCTAAAGATGTCAATGATTAGGTAGTTGAGATTTGCTGCTAGTCCAACAGTAATCAAAGCGCTGAAAGCACTGCTGGGGGCGCATTATGTTGATTGTATAGTGGTCTATTGTTACAAGCAGATGCCATTCCTACTTTCAAAGCAGATGTCACATTTTTACTCGATTATTCGATAAGAATAAGTAGAATTATCCTAGTCATCTGAACATTGGCGTCTATCACCTCAATTTTCCCGAAGTCCATTGACATATGGCATTGAAACTTTGCACACTTGATCCCGATCAGGCACCCATTTGTTAAAGATTGCCTATGGCTTCAAGATATTTTCGTATTCCATAGACATCTGGCTTTGAAATAAATTGAAATTTTATACATTTCTTTGCGAGCATACTAGCTAGGACTCTCTCCAATGCTTATATCTGTAGAATATTGGGTTTAAAGAAATTTTTGGTCCTTTTGTGAACTTAAAATATTTTAAATAACCAAGGTTCTTCTATTGTCAAGCACTAAGCATATAGTTGAGTGTGCTGTCCTACCAACAGCTATTGTTTGCATACCTTGTGAAATATAACTCCTTCAAACTTTTGTTCAGTTATTATTATGCAAACACAAGAACTGTCTTAGGACAGTAAGGCTCGACTATTCGAAAAAGTTGTCACAAGGGTGTTTATCGAGTATAAAAATGCTTACCAATGAATACATAAAACTGACCGAAAAGGTACAAAGGCTTGGATTAAGATGTTTTATCAACTAAATCACTGCTTTATTATCATGAATGCATAAAATTGTCCCAAAAAAGGCACAAACCCTTCAGTAGCTATGGAGATAACATGCTTACAAGCAAAACTTTACCATTAAATTCTAAGTTGAAAAAGGGGAGAAAAATCAGCCTAAATGCTCGATAAAATTATGGATCTTGGTCAGTAACCTACATGTACAATTATGACCTTAAATGCATGTGAAGTTTTAATATTGTAGGCAGAGTTATCCAACTTGTCAATCTGATGTACATTGTTACGATAAATAACTATTGTAAGTTTCAATTGAATATCTCAAGCAATAATTGAGATATTTGACTTTAAAATAAACTTAAACCAACGCAGATGCGGACGCTGGGTTACTACAATAGCTTTCATATTTTTCAAATAGTCGAGCTAAAAACTACCAAGTCATGGTTGACACCATATAGTTATTCCATATATAAATATATATGTATATATCATGGAAAACATTTCAAGATGTTACAATGGATTGTAGTGTATAACAAGAAAATCAGTGTACTTTAACTTTAATCCAATAATCATACAAACATCTGTAAATAACTGGAACAAAATATTTCTTAAATAAAACCATACAAAACAAGAGGGCCATGATAGCCCTAGATCGCTCACCTGACTTATCAAACTCATCCAAACAATTACCTAGACAAGCATTCTGACCAAGTCTCATGACAGGTGAGTCAAAAATGTGACCACTACAGTGTTAACAAGGATTATCCATATTTGAGCAGTGCGACCTAGTTTTTTACCCAGGTGACACATATTCAAACTTGACCTAGAAATCATCAAAACAAACTGTCAGACCAATTTCCAGGATACTTGGATAAAAACAGAAGCAACTAGAGTGTTAACAAGATTTTTCTATTTTTAGCTCCGGTGACCTAGTTTCACATGCGATTTCGAACTCATCCAAGCAATTACCTAGACAAGCATCCTGACCAAGTTTGATGATAATTGAGTCGAAAATGTGACCACTAGAATGTTAACAAGGCTTTTCCATATTTGGGCGGTGTGACCTAGTTTTTCATCCAAGATGACCCATGTTGAATCTTGACTTAGAAATCATCAAAACAAACTTTTAGACCAATTAACAGAATATTTGGATCACAACAGTAGCCACTAGAGTGTTAACAAGATTTTTCTATTTTTATCTCCTGTGACCTAGTTTTTCATCCGAGATGTCCCATGTTCGATTTATTCCCAGCAATGACCTAAGCAAGTTTCCTGACCAAGTTTGCTAACAATTGAGTCAAAATTGTGACCACTAGAGTGTTAACAAGGTTTTTCTATTTTTAGCTCCTGTGACCTAGTTTTTCATCCGAGATGACCCATGTCCGAACTCATCCGAGCTATCACCTAGACAAGCATCTTAATCAAGTTTGATGATGATTGATGCAAAAATGTGACAACTAGAGTGTTAACAAGGTTTTTCTATTTCTACCCCAGGTGACCTACTTTTTCATCCGAGATGACCCATGTTCAAACTCATCCGAGCTATCAACTAGACAGACATCTTGACAAAAGTTTGATGATGACTGATGCAAAAATGTGACTGCTAGAGTGTTAACAAGGTTTTTCTATTTTTAGCTCCGGTGACCTTCTTTTTCATCCGAGATGACCCATGTTTGTACTCATCCGAGCTATCACATAGACAAGCATCTTGACCAAGTTTGATGATGATTGATGCAAAAATGTGACCGCTAGAGTGTTAACAATGTTTTTCTATTTTTAGCTCCGGTGTCCTACTTTTTCATCTGAGATGACCCATGTTCGAACTCATCCAAGATATCAACTAGATAAGCATCCTGACCAAGTTTGATGATGATTGATGCAAAAATGTGACTGCTAGAGTGTTAACAAGGTTTTTCTATTTATAGCTCCGGTGACCTAGTTTTACATCCGAAATGACCCATGTTCGAACTCATCCGAGCTATCAACTAGATAAGCATCCTGACAAAGTGTGATGATGATTGGGTCAAAAATGTGACCACTAGAGTGTTCACAAGGTTTTTCTATTTTTAGCTCCTGTGACCTAGTTTTTCATCAGAGATGACCCATGTTCAAACTCATCCAAGCAATTGACTAGACAAGCATTCTGACCAAGTTTGATGATGATTGGTTTAAAAATGTGACCACTAGAGTGTTCACAAGGTGTTTCTATTTGTAGCTCCTGTGACCTACTTTTTCATCAGAGATGACCCATGTTTGAACTCATTCGAGCTATCACCTAGGCAAACATCCTGACCAAGTTTAATGATGATTGGGTCAAAAATGTGACCTCTACAGTGTTCACAAGGTTTTTCTTTTTTTAGCTCTTGTGACCTAGTCTTTCATCCGAGATGACTCATGTTCGAACTCATCCATGCTTTCAACTAGATAAGCATCCTGACCAAGTTTGATGATGATTGAGGCAAAAATGCGACCGCTAGAGTGTTCACAAGCAATTGTGGACGGACGACGGACATTCACCGATCCTAAAAGCTCACCCTGAGCAAGCTCAGGTGAGCTAAAAACCAAAAACTGATGATGACAGAACGGGTATCACTTTATGCCTATAAAAATTTTTTTGCTCAAGTGATTTTTTTTCGAAGAGCTACATATGAAATTGCTGCCAAATATACATAAGTAAAATCTATTTCAAAGCTGCATGCATTCATATAAATATATTTAAAAAAAATCAAACTTGATTAAATAAAAAAAAGTTCAAGGATAGCCCAAACTTGTTAATTATAAAAAATATATATACAGAGTATTATGTTGTAGTAGCTCTCTGAGGCTTTGTATTTTGCTATGAGCAGTGGTGGGAAATTGATATCTTGCGAGACCAAAGGGCGAGCTAGATAACAATTTTCCAACATTGCAAGTAGAAAAATGCATAGCCTCAGAAAGCTACTACAACATAATTTTCCTTTAATAATATACCTTTTCGTTTGAAGTATAAATGATTTTCATTATACTACACTTATATAAGAAATTTCAGAAAAAGAAATGTAGCTGTCAAGAAATAAATTATGACTGACAGATGAATACGTAATTTGTGCAAAACCAGCCACACCTTTTATTATTTTGGTTGCCATTTCCATATACTATGTTATACACAGCTAAGATCAGAACCAACATTAACAAGAACCGGTTGATGCTCCCCGAGAAGGTTCTGGACACTGGAAAGTATAAAAAAAATGAACAAAGGGCAAAAACCCCGAAATTAGGCAAAGCGGAGTTATGTTTTTTTTTGCACTGCACTTCTATTCAATTAGATCTTTCTATCTATAAAGTTGCCTGATGATATCAGAGTTATGTCCAAGGTAAAATTCAAAGTGTAAAAATGAAATTAGGGTAATAACTCCAAAATTAGACCAGGCTTTCTTTAGGTTCTTTAAGCATTGCAGTTCTATCCAATTATATCTAGCTACCTACAAAGTTTCATGTTGATATCTCTAATAGTTTTAAAGTTATGTCTCGGACAAAAGTCAAAAAGTAAAAATAAACAAAGGGCAATTACTTCAAAATAAGGCAAGGCAGAGTAATGATTCTTAAGCACTGCTTAGAGTAATGTCCTGGACAGAGTTTAAAGTGTCAAAATGATCAAAGGGCAATAACTCCAAAAGTAGGCAAGACAGTGTTACAGTTCTTGTGCACTGCAAACTTACTCAACGATATCTATCTACCTACAAAGTTTCATGTTGATATCTCTTTTACATTGAGAGTTATGTCTCGGACAAAGTTCAAAGTGTAAAAATAAACAAAGGGGGATAATTCAAAAATTAGGCAAGGGAGAGTTAAGGTTCTTGTTCACTGCTTACCAACTCAATGAAATCTATCTACCTACAAAGTTTCATGTTGATACCTGTTATAGTTTTAGAGACAAAGTTCAAAGTGTAAAATAAAGAAAGGGGGATAATTCAAAAATTAGGCAAGACAGAGTTACGGTTCTTGTGCACTGCATACCAAGTCAATGAGATCTATCTACCTACAAAGTTTCATGTTGATACCTCTTATAGTTTTAGAGTTATGTCCCGGACAAATTTCAAAGTGTAAAATAAACAAAGGGGGATTATTCAAAAATTAGGCAAGGCAGAGTTACGGTTCTTGTACACTGCACACCAACTCAATGAGATCTATCTACCTACAAAGTTTCATGTTGATACCTCTTATACTTTTAGAGTTATGTCCTGGACAAAGTTCAAAGTGTAAAATAAACAAAGGGGAATAATTCAAAAATTAAGCAAGGCAGAGTTACAGTCTTGTGCACTGCACACTTACTCAATTAGATCTATCTACCTACAAAGTTTCATGTTGATACCTCTTATAGTTTTAGAGTTATGTCCCGGACAAAGTTCAAAGTGTAAAAATAAACAAAGGGGAATAATTCAAAAATTAGGCAAGGCAGAGTTACGGTTCTTGTGCACTGCACACCTACTCAATGAGATCTATCTACCTACAGTCTTTCTGAAAGACCGTCGGAACGTCGGCCCTGACCGGTAAAAATCAGAAGGTCCGATAAAAATATATGTTTTGACGGCCCGACGGTCCGGTAAAAATTAAGGATTTATAAAAACCTTACATTCAACATTTTGCAAAGGCCGATCATTTACCTACATTCAAAACAAATCAAAATGTTGTCATTACACAATATAAGCTCGTGCAATGCTTGTCAACTGTTATGCATTCTCATAATGCAAACTTTAATGTAACAACGTTAGATAAAAATATTCGACAACTAGTACAAGTAAAAGTCAATCAGCGGCCATGTAAATTACATAAGCGGCCCAGATGTAAAAGGTCAACCGCTATTAGTTTGTTTACACAGATGAAAGCGTCAGTGAATTAATTGGAACAATTTACGTCTTTAATCCACAGACTTAGAGAAATGTTAAATTACATGTGTGCTCAACTGGTGTTTAGCTATGAAAGATCGTCCAAGATGTTGACAAAAATTAAACTATACTGTGAAGGTACCAAAATCATTGAACAATTAATCTGTCAACTTCACTAAATTACCGATATATATAATTCTGTTTACATATGCCAGACTTTTGCTGAAATTTACCCTCTCATTTTGCTGTATGAAATTAAAGTTTAAATAGCAAAATCCATTGAATACATGTATAACAATATTTATGTTTACATTTTGATTGTGGTGAAAAAAGATAACTTCACTTCCTTGATAATACAATTTTCTTTTTGTACACAAATTTTTTGACTGCTGACACTCAAATGACTCAAAATGCTATACCAATCAGGTTTTTTTCGGTCCAGTAAAATCATGTTTGGTCCAGTAAAAATTTTCAGTTTACAGGACCTACTGTCCAGTAAAACTCAGAAGTCTTTCGCATAGACTGTACCTACAAAGTTTCATGTTGATACCTCTTGTTGTTTCAAAGTTAAGTCCCGGACAATAAAAGGGGATGGACGGACGGACAAGGCGGCGACTATATGCTCACCCGAAATTTTTCGGGGAGCATAAAAATAGTCCAGGCCTTTCATATATGGTACTGTTTTGTCTCTAACATAATACAGAATTTTCTAACCGTTGAAAACTATTTGCGCTTCAAGATAATCCTGTGTTTTAGGAAGAAAATTTATTGGTATATAATAAATGCTGTCATTGACATTTCTTATGCTTATATTCATTATATGTATTTCTTGCAATCCTATTTATAGCTACAAATTCTATGAATTAAAATAGAAAATGAAGGTAGCATGCAGACGGTGTTGATATTGTGTGATAACAAGAGCTGTCGGTAGGACAGCATGCTCGACTATTCTAAGTGCTTGATAGTAAAAGAGCCTTGATAATGTTAAATTTTTTAAGTTCACAAAGGGCTAATTTTTTTTGATAAATTCATGTTATAGGCCTTAGAGAGAGTCTAATTATACAGTATTGGCTTGACTATTTGGAAGGTAATGTCACAAGGGTGTTTTATTGAGTATAATAATACTAATTACCTATGAATACATAAATTTGACAGAAAAGGTACAAAGGCTTGTTATTAAGATGTTTTATCAAGTAAATCACTGCTTTATTATTATGAATGCATAAAATTGTCCCAAAAAAGGCACAAACCTTCAGTAGTTATTGAGATAACAGCTTACAAGCAAAACTTTACCATGAATTTCTAAGTTGAAAAAGGGAAGAAAAATCAGCCTAAATGCAAGATAGAATTATGGATCTTTGTCAGTGACCTACAATTATGACCCTAAATGCATATATGTGAAGTTTTAAATAAATACCTTCAATAGTTATTGAGATATGTAAAACTTGCATGTAAAAAATAACCAAGAGACTAAGTAGAAAAGGGGATATGAATCAGCCTTAATGCAAGATAGAGTTATGGAACTTGGTCAGTGACATACAATTATGACCCTCCAATTATGACCCTAAGTGCATGTGTAAAGTTTCAAGTAAATATCTTTGAAGACCAGTTTAACCTTTAACCAAAATTTCTAAGTTTCAAAGGGGCAAATAATTCTGCAAATATTGCAGGCAGAGATATGCAATTTTGCAAACTGATGTACATTGTTACTATAAAAAAGTATTTTAAATTTCAATTGAATATCTCAAGCAATAATTGAGATATTTGACTTTACAAAAAAAACTTTAACCAAAATGTCTAAGTTCCAAAGGGGCATAATTTTGTCAATATTGTAGGCACAGTTATCCAACTTGTCAATCTGATGTACCTTGTTACTATAAATAAGTATTGTAAGTTTCAATTGAATATCTCAAGCAATAATTGAGATATTTGACTTTACAAAAAACTTTAACCAAAATTTCTAAGTTAAAAAGGGGCATAATTCTGTCAATATTGTAGACAGAGTTATCCAACTTGTCAATCTGATGTACCTTGTTACTATAAATAAGTATTGTAAGTTTCAATTGAATATCTCAAGCAATAATTGAGATATTTGACTTTACAAAAAACTTTAACCAAAATTTCTAAGTTAAAAAGGGGCATAATTCTGTCAATATTGTAGACAGAGTTATCCAACTTGTCAATCTGATGTACCTTGTTACTATAAATAAGTATTGTAAGTTTCAATTGAATATCTCAAGTAATAATTGAGATATTTGACTTTACAAAAAACTTTAACCAACGCAGATGCCGACGCGGACGCTGACGCCGGGGCGACTACAATAGCTCTCATATTCTTCGAATAGTCGAGCTAAAAATTTAAAGATCATTGGAAATCATCCCAGTAACCGAATACTCTAAATGACCGAGTACTCGAGTATTGATTTTAGTAATTGTTGCCATCCCTAAAAAAATAAAGTACTTGACAAGATCAACTAACATCTAAATAAAAAACTTTGAAAACAGAATTAATTATTTTGAAAAATTCACTCTGAGCTGTATTATTTAAAATGGGTGTTCAAACACATTGAAAACATTGATAATTCATTTCATGTTCTTGGTGATGAAGTGGTGCCTCAATATAGTTATCACTGCAATCTATCTTCCCTCATAACTCCTACTATTACTGTATCTGTCAAACAAGCATCTCTGTTTTCTGAAATAGAGTTTGAAAAAGTTTATTGCTGACCGAGATATTCCATACTTGTATGTTAACTTTTTTCAGCATCTTTCTGTTAGAATTACTCTGATTTATAAAGGTATAAAACCAAAAAATGCGCGACCAATGCCAGAGCTCAACCCCTCTGATCAGATTTCACAAACGAGCATCTGAGTAGAACCACCGCCTTTTTTTAAAGCTAGCTGGATTGCTTTCTCACATTAAAGAATCCATATTAAATATAATAGAACATTGATAATTGCTACACAGTCTCTTTGTAAACATAAAATAAGCATGTTTTGTGTTTACATAAAGTAGCTATGTAATGTTAAAACACCACATGCTATAGTTGGTCACAATATAAATATATAGTGTTGTTAGGAAACTGACAGTTTTTTTAAGAAGGACCAAATTTTTTTTTGTCTCGTAAGAAGGAACATGGCTTCCAATGCATAGTTAATTCATTCAAATTAGACATATTCAAAAAGAATTGCATAGAATTCAATACATTTTCATGATTAAAATATTTTACTGATGAGCATAGTATATCTTTAAAGGTAAGTGGTTTAGGTGCATTACTTTGACTATGGTCACCCCAATTAAATCTATTTATTTGCTTAGTAACACAACTTTTTAAAGTCATATAAATTTGTAAATGTGAGTGATTCTGATAATCTATATACAGCTAAGTCAAGATGAGATGATTAGGTTTTACTGACTGCTTACTACATGAAGTCACTATTTCAATGTCAAATGCCTTGAGGTGAAAGGAATGAAAACTTGAATTTCAAAATACAATTTAAGTGAATTACATGTCACAAATGAGCCATGTCATGACAAAACCAACATAATGGGTTTGCGACCAGCATGGATCCAGACCAGGTTGGTCTGATCAGGATCCATGCTGTTCGCTTACAAACCTTATTACAAGTAGAGAAACTGATAGCGAACAGTATGGATCCTGATCAGACTGGGCGGATGCCCATTATGTTGGTTTCGTCATGACACGGCTAAAATGTTTTTGCTATCGACTTTTGTTCCTAAATTAACAACAGATTGCATAATGAAAAGATATTGAAATAATTAATATACAATTGGCTCTAAGTGCCAAGCTTACAGATTTTAAATAAACCTTGAGCCCTGTGTTGGCCTTTAAACATGTCAAACATTTAGAAAGTATTTATTAAGGAAAAGTGTATACAAATAATCATGTACCTCTTCATTATATGCCCATGACATTGAAAAAACATTGTGTCATCTGTTTACTTCAAGGTTAGTCACATTGACAGTATCACATTTTAGACTTTATCTCTCTTGATTCCATTCATAAAAAGCATTCTCAAAATGGGTCCTCTTAATTTCACATTCATCAATCTGACAAAAACCTCCTGGAAAAGAAGTTAGAAACATATGCCACTAATTATGTCAGTTAATGTCAAATAAATACTTTGAGAAACTATTTGGTCAAAATTGTAAATGTACAAAGATTTTCAAACCAAATATATATATAACAATGAACATTTCCTTTTTAACTTTCTAACATATATAATGTATGGTCTTACTTGAAGAAAATGTTTGCCCATGTGACCGAAAAGGGATTAAGGACCATTACTATTGTTTATCCTTTTGTTTATTAAAGGGCCATGGCCCCATATTCTATTGTTATGGAATGAATTCTATTGTTCTCTTTTGTTATGCTACAGTAAGATGGATATATATATCAAAGTCAGAAAAAAGCTAACATGTTTTTACCTTAATGGCCTGTATAATTATGTTTCACAGCTTCTCAGCAAACAACCAACTGAGCCACAATTGAAATCTAACAAACAAGCCTTTATTCACAAACCTGAAATAAAAAAATTTCCTAATCAATACAATAGTTCTTTTAATTTATTACATACTTCATTGAAACATTAAGAAATATTGATAAAGTAAAATGCTCATTTTCATTTCCTGTATTTTCAATGTAATTATTCATTTTTCATTGCGTATTTTCACAAGTGTCTCCTAAATTTAGCCTATACACAATAGACTGTAAAGAATAATAGGGCAATTTCTTTATAATTTCAAGTATTTATAGTCGAAACAGTCCTTTTTAAAGGCATATATATGGGTAAGTTGAATGTTGCATGTCCAGATATGACTGACTAACAATAATTATTGTAAAAGTGAGTAATAATTGTCGGAATCATAGCTCAATCAGTAGAGAACATAGCTCAAGGTTACCAGATTTCAAAAAAAAAAATTATTAATTTTGTTCTGACATGTCAGGAACAACTTAGACATGTCAGGAACAACTTGAAATTTAAATGAGTTTTTCGTTTGATTGATTTTTGTTACCTATCTTACTTTTTCATTGAAGTATCTTTACCTTCTTAAAAATTATGCCCAAATCTCATTTCTTTCTCTTTTTTTAAACTTCTTTTCATGAATTTAATATAAATATTTTCAACAGATTTTAAAATAATCAAAATACAACACTGTTAAGCATATATAACTGTTGTCAGGATTAAGTTTTGTTTCATCAAAAAAAAACTTGAATAGAAAATAGAACAGTTTCCACCTGTAGTTTGGAACCCACTAACTGAATTCACTTTTATATCAATATTATGCAGTCTTAAACTTATTTCACTAGTAAGTCAAATGATTTATTATCTCAAACAATGTAATTACATGTAGTATAAGTTTTATGGAAATAATGTGGTTAATCACTTGCAGTTAATCAAGGCTCGACAAATCCACTTGTCCGCTCATAAATGATAAATACGAGTAAAAATGACTCTGGACAAGTTAATCTCCCAAAAATGCCCGTCCTGCAGGACATGTGAAATTTCTAGCATAAATTAATCAAATTTCAATTCAATTCTTTTGAAACCATTTTTCAAGTTTTACTAGTAAGACAGAGCACAAAATAATTCCCGTGTGTTTGATGGGCAAAACTGATGTTGATTTGTTGAATGCAACGCTTAATTCTGTCTGATTCTATTTTGTAAAAACTTACTAAAAGCCCGTGCGGCGATTCCAGTATGTTCCACAAAATTTTTTTAAAATGTCACAATGCAATATTTGGCAAATGTTTAGCCAGAAAGAAGTTAGTTAAACAGTGTCTTCAAAAAAGAAAAATTGTCTTCAAAAAAGAAAAATGAGTCAGAACATGTAGGAAATTTATATTTTTTAAGCATTGTTGTTGTTGTTGTTTTTCGTTTTTCAATCCCTGATATATTATTTGTAGTATTTGTAACTATTATCTATTCTATTTGTAATAGAACAGCATTTTTCCCTTATAAAACTATTTACGTTCCCAATAAAAAAAGACAGCAAATTTTCAAATGTTTTTTTTTTAAAGTCCCAAAATTACTGTCAAAATTCCCATCCAAATATTTGTACCTAGTTCATTTTATACTTCCGAACATTATTTTTGTACATGTACTCATTTTTTTCACTCCAATAGGAAATCAATATATTATGCATGGTTTAACTTTAAATGTGTATAAATATTATGCATATAAATTCTCATGTCTCCCTGGATAAAATTCAAAATTAACCATGTGGCATGAATACCTGTCAGTTATGTAGTATCAATTTGAGTCAAAACGCATTTTTCCAAAAAAAAATTGTACTGGTAGCGTATAGATAATAGTTATCCAGAACTAAGCAAATGTCAGGGTTTTTCGATGCTAATCCCCAGTGTAAATATAATTATAACCTTACTCAAATTTCTTAAAATGAAGGGTGAAGTGTCTGCAAAAAAGGGCCTAGGGTGAAGTGTCTGGGGGGGTGAAGTGTCTGTAAGCCGAGGTGATGGACAAGGCAAGACATGTCAATTTTTTGTAGCTTATTATGAAGGAAGTGGCTAGCCGTACGGGCCCGTACGGCTAGCCAAAAGTTCTAGCCGTACGTGAGTCACGTACGACTAGCCAGGACACACTGTATTGGCTAGCCGTACGGCACTTTTCAAAAATATATGGAAGGCGAAAGTGCATATGTTAATTATGACTTTAAGCGAGGATTTTAGTCAAGAATGTTTACTTTTAAAGATTAATCGACGTGTTGGCTACAGTAAAGAATGTACGTACTTTGTCATCACAAGACGTCGAGAAAAAATAGCGTTTGGTTGCAGTTATTGAAAAAGTTTACAAAATTTTGATAATAATCATTTTTTGTTTCATTAAGTTTAATTTTTAAATTGAAAAAAAAACAAAAAAACAAACAAACAAACAAAAAAAACCCACCGAAAATAATTGTTGTCGGGCTCTGATAATTGCGTCAAATACCGACGGTATAGAAGTTTGTTCATCGTCCATCATTAAGGAAAGTCTGCATTATTAAATTATTTTTCCTTTTCACAGTTTTTTTTTTAATATTCTTTTTATTTATTTATTCCCCTCCGATCATTATTTTTTCGATCCATGTGCTTAATTAACAGATTTAACAATTCATCTTTCATACAAATCATAAGCATGAAAATTAAGGACGTTATAACATGCAACTTTGACACTTAATTTTATTAAGATAGATTATACAACGCTTACTCGTATTCATTTTTTTTGCAAAATTGCGGAGCATCTTTATTAAAAAGAACACACTAGGACAAATGCGGAGATTTGATTAAAATCGTCGTTGAAAGACACAAAATAACATAAGCATTTTCGACTTCCATATAATTTTGAAAAGTGCCGTACGGCTAGCCAATACAGTGTGTCAAGGCTAGTCGTACGTGACTCACGTACGGCTAGAACTTTTGGCTAGCCGTACGGGCCCGTACGGCTAGCCACTTCCTATTATGAAGTTGCAGTACAATGAGAGACTGGCACTACTTGTATATTTTTTATTTAAAAAAGCTGTAAGGTAAGCATCAACAATATGTATACGCTAGATGTAAATAACTCACCTCCAAAAAATATATAAAAAAAATGGGTCAAAAATGTCTGGGTAGGAAATGGTTTGAGGGAGGACTTTCAAGGGAAGGAACTGCTAAACTTAAAATTTGATAAGGTCAATTCAGTACAAAAAAGCTTTACCCGATAATGGCCGATTGTGAAGAAAATTTGTAAAAAATAGAGCTTTTAATTGCAACTTAAATATCAACGTTCTGAAATATAAACAATGAACATCAGTCATCTTGAATAACGTTGTATTGAAAGTCATATCCGCGGATATGACTCATATCCGGTATTAAGTCAAACTCTTGTATCTTTTGTAAGCAACCAGAATCGCCAACGATTTCGCCACTGATAAATGGATAAATGCAAAACAAGCAAAGTTATTCAACAGTTAGGTAAATGGGAAATAAGGAAGGTTTTTGTAATATAAAACTTACAACTCGTTTTAACACGTGGAACTTCTATATAAACTTCTCAATCTTTCACGGATGAACTTGTAAACAATGGCGATTGCGGTAAAATGACGTTAGGGCGAAAATAGTTCGTATTCATACGCATGCATTGTTTTTCTTAAATTTACACTTATGAAGCATTAATTAGGCCCTATAAGCTTTAAAGTTAGCTGATCTGAAATCCGTATTCCATTACTTGCTAAATTTTTGAGTTCTATGACACTTAATTAACTTGTGACTACATGTAATTTGTACTATATTTATGCAAGTACTTTGGCTATGATCGACCGCTGGCGTAGTAATATTAAAATCGCGTAAAGCAAAAATATACATACAATTTTAAAAGACGATTGCTAAATTTAGTACAAAATTGACCAGTCAATTTTAAAATAGATAGGGAACTATGATTATGGAGTTACTGCGAAGTTTTGGAACTATTTTGCTTAGCGTAGGTAGCTGACTATTTGTGGTCATATCATAGTAAATCTGAATTTGTCGTTATTCCATTGGGGGCGCATTGCGCATGCGCCCCCAAAAACGGAATTGGTTTATAATACTAGTAGAAGGTCTGTATTATCGTAAATAATTATGTTGATATTATTTATTATCATATGTGACAACAAACCAACAAATGTTGTTGGTAAGCTTGAGAAACATGATATCTATATAAAGCAGATAATAAATTGTTCTAGAACAAACTATTATTATTCCTCATATAAATGTCCATACTAAATCACAACTCTTTCCAAAAAAATTCAAGAAAATTTTAATAAGAATATCCAAATGATACATTTATATTGTTTTATCAATATTTGGAATGTGTCCATTGTAGACCGATTCACTTTAAAGTTTAGTGAGAAAACAAAATACTGTAAGTATACTGAAATCTTTAGGGTAGTTAAGAGAGTTTATCAACAATTCTCTTTAAACATAAAAATCTTATGTAATTGAGAATTGCAAAATGAATACTCACAGCAAGATCATGCCCGCAAATTTTATCTGTAGACATTTGAGAACATTTTAAACTTTCCTTATCATCTATTCAATTATCTATCACATGTACATTATTGATTTAATTATCAAAAAGGGCGGTTTAAATGTCTTTCAACATTTGTATTTGCTTACAATAATGACTATTTTCTTACGATAAAGATACAAGCACCTGCAACAGAATGGTAGCAAATGAAGACTATACTTTAAAACAGATTTGTTGATACGTTCATAGGATGATCCTGCCACATTTTTACATCAGATAATTACATCTCAAATCTAAAAGTAATTCACTTATGGGTCGTAAATTTGGCGCAGAAATCAGGTTAAATATTCAGCCCGACATGCGATATTTTTATGCTCAAGTGAGAAGTACTACCACTTATTATTAAGCACTCCATGCAAATATTTAAGTGTTATGTTAGAAGAAGAAAATGTTGTGTTTCAAGCAACACTTATTGAGATTCAAGTTAATTTTGATAATTTTTAATTCATTTTATTTTGTAAAATGTTGTCAAGTGAACAATTAAAATTATTTGATCCAGACTTAGCAATATTTTTAGAGATTGTGTGATATTGTATTACTGATTGTGTGTTGCAAATAAAAATAATAGTAAAAAAAAATGCAAGAATAACCATTACTCATAGTGGACTTATGGTGATATAATAATGAAATTTGATCGCATTTTTGAGTTAAATGCCGATCGGATTGCGAGGATTTTTATACGTTCCTTAGATTATTAAAAACACGTCCTTTAGATTTAATTCTAGAAATGGTGTTGGCTAGTATAAAGGTTTGCCACTTAATTATATACAGACCGACATACTCCTGACGTTTCGCAAGAAGCACACATCTCTTCGACATGATACATATGATAACGAGTGTGACGGAATTAAAACAGTAGAACAACAAAAGGGGGTTTCAATCAAAGTCATTGAACAATTATTCTAAGAACATAAAACCATTGCAGACATTTTGTTCATTACATGACGTTTTACAAATTTTAAAGTACATAATGGCATTCGAAACATCGGCTTTAACAAATACCACCGATTAATAATATTTTAAAGTTATACCTTAACAATTTAAGTCTGTGGGATTACTATTAAATATTTTTGTTTCTGGACTGGGTAAATGTTTCCGTGTAAGACAGGTGTTTGGCAAGTTTGAAGAATGAGGCTGACGGGTTGTAATGCGAATATTATATGTTTTATCTGTGTAATTTTGCATCTTTATGTCAATTATCTGCAGTGTTATTTACCTACACCATTCAAATACACATAACTTACATCATTCAAATATGCATAACGCAACAAAATGATCACTTCTAAGTTTGTAGAAGTGAACTATTCTTTGAAATAGATATTCCAGTCTGCAATTAGCAGAAGCTTATGTAATTAATGCTTTTGCATAGCTTCCAAAATATCTTGAGTAAACGTATATGCTAAAATACTGCAGATCGAAATTATGCATAATAGAATATCTTTAAAGATCCTGTAACTCAATTTTTATGATTTTATATCATAAATTTTATGCTCAAATGAAGACTTATCAATATTGTAAGTTCCAAAAAGCATTATTTTTGAATATATTACCTAATTTATATTATCATGTTAATAAAGGGAGGTAATTATAAATTCATTTTCTATGAAGTCTAAGTCAGTTTTTTTCAATAAAAGAAATGAATGCATATATTTCAATGATTACATTTAATGTGGACACATATTTGCAGTACATATTTTATATATCCTTCGATGTTTGAAAATTGTTTTAGAAGCATAATTATATACTTATATAAAATTTATCTTAAGCGTGGTAACAACTGTAATAACAACATGATCTTTAAAGTGTAATTTATTTATCAACTAACCTTTTGACTTTGAAAGAAACAATAATACAATTATAGATATGGAAAACATGGATAAAATATACTGACATTTGTACAAATAAAATTCTTTATCTTCAAATAGCATATATTTTCGCATGCAAATAATAAATACATTTGATAATTGCAATCCATATATGTTTTCCGTAAAAATAAATTTGAAACAATCTTACAAAAAATAAGAATACGAAAAGTTTAATATTCAGGAATGTTCCACACAATTCTTCTCACAGGGAGATTTGCATTCTTGGGCGTGGTGGTTCCGTTACGTTTTCCTTGCTAATTGTGAAGCGTTACATATGGGTTAAAATGGATTAAAAGAAGCCCTAAAACTTCATAACAGGGAGATATTTGATAGATACAGTAAACATGCAGTTAATTCAACTATGAATATAAATATTCTTTCTAAGTTTATGTCTGATAAAGACACTGCAAGATTACGATGTCGTACTTTGTATCGTCATCCATGAAGTTTTTTTAGTTAAATCATATTTATTTCCAGAAAATTACATATAAAAAGTACAATGATAGCACAAATCAAAACATACTTATTATAACTCGATAAAGTGTTTTATATAGCTAGATGCAAGGTCTTTTATAACATATATTTATCTTTCTAAATCAATACATTTTATAGATTTACTAAATTATATATTTGACGAACTTAAAAAGTACAACTCTGCAATCAACCTAAATGTTGTTAATGTAAGTAACCTCGAAAGAGAGATTTAAATTTCTTCGAAACCGTGTATACATTAATAACTTTCTTTTCGCAATGCAGTGATTTACATTTACTTTCTGTAGTATTAAAAATTGTTGCTTTCCACATTTTCAATATGCAGTGCCAAAGTCTTTATTTATCTCAACATAACCCCGATGCAGTGTAACAGTATTTTCATCTTTTAAATGGATTTACAGAGGCTTAAAGTGTTGCTTTTCAAACAGTGTAAGTTATTTCGTTAGAACAGTGTTGATAAAAACATCTATCAGTTTTGCCTATAGTTTAATAAAGTCGAAATAAAATACTCACAAATGTAGTTGAATGTGACTGAATCACAGCTCACATTCTGTTTTATCAATTTTGTTGTGTATCTTTGACAGACAAAACAAGATATCATGGATAATACATTTGCTTTCATTACATAATATGAGTATCAAATTTTAATATGCTTTACCTGCATAATAAATTGGAAACATATTTATCACCGAAATGAGCAATAACTCTGTAATAAAACAATTATGTTATAAACCTCTTCTAGCTACATATTGAGATTTTTTAGATATGAAAAACATTTAGATAGCCTAACATTAATGACACATTTCTTATTACGCAGTTAATAAAATGTACAATATATGATATAAAAATTAAATTAAAAACAAATGGTGGTGGTACTAGAAGTGGTACATAAGATGCTACAGGAGAAAGTTTCATTTAAGCCTTAAGCTATATCGACTCAAAACTGATTGTAATTTATGTATTGTAACTTTGTATTGGAAACACTGAAGAAGAAATAAAATTGGAAATATTGAAATGATACATATGTAAAGAGTGATTACATCATCATTTTGCTACACATTCGAATGTAAATTTAATAAGACACACTTTTCTTAACCATCTCCTCGAACTAGGACAAGCATTTCAGATAGAACTTTGCAACTAGATGATGTGTATGCCTGCAAAATTTTAAAATCTGAATGTTTTCACATTTAAAGCATAGTTGTTTCTCATAGATAAAGAACCGATGTCGTGTTTTGCTGTCTATAACAATTAATGACTTTCGCATTCATTTATGATATACCTATTTATTGCAAACAATGTATATGATAAACATGTATCAGATAAGTCGTCAAATCTCCATGCAACACTGCAACTTGCCCATTTGGTAAGAAGCAACACTACCAATTCACTTATACACATCATGCAATAACATCCTTGATATACCAGAAAACATATGAGATTGATTGATTGAGGAGGTCTGAAACGAGTCATTCGGACTCGCTCTTACAGATAGAATTTGTCTTGCCCGGTAATATAGGTCTGTCATTTACATAGAATTATAATTTGTTACTCAGTACAATAAAAGCACTTTATTGTTAACTTTATCGATAACAATGGAAATGATTAGAAGGTAATGAGATTGAGTAAAATAGATGTCTGCAAGGCAGCTCTAAGCAGGCAATATTTCATAATTTTACTTTTGTCTTTAATGTTATACTTCCTATTCCGCA